AGCCAGTAACCTTGTATGTTGTTTGTGATGTTTGTCTGACATTATTTGACTTACATCTTGGATTCATTAATCAAGTCGTTTGTAATTTTCAGGTTTTTTTTTTTTTTAAGATTTAAGACATTTAAAAATAAACTAGGCGTGATAGCCATTTGAGTTTGTAATGTTGACTTACGCTGAATTTTTAGTTGATTTGCTTTGTACTTTCCAAGATTGGCTTGCTGTTTTTCATTATTCTTATGTTACACTGAAAAGAAAAGAAAAAAAACCAAACCTGTGTTTATTGCTTAGCTGAAAGATTTATTTTAAGATTTTTATTTTGTACTTAAACTTTCTTAATTCATGGTCTTCTTATATATATTTTTAAATTAGTTTTTTTTTCCTTTCTACCTCCTTTCCACACTTGACAGAGATCTTTTGGGAAATCTTTTGGATGTTGTGTTTGTGTCTTGATAACTCTTTTAAATTCTTTACTTTTAATCCTTAAAGGTAGGCTTTAAAAGTCATGGGTTCCTAACTGCTGGTTTATTTTGTTTTGTATGGAGCTCTGGAATTTTTAAAGGGTACAACATAAAGTAATAAATTTATTAGCTTTTATTCCAGTTTTACTTAGAAAATAAGTTTGGTATAGGATTCATTCATATCTTGAACACTCTACAAAGGTCCACAATATAATTAACTATTGTCATCCTAATGTAAGATTTGACACATTAATTATTGGACTTGAGAATAAGGGGCTTTGTTATGATGTCATTATTTCTGTTATTTTTTTATTGGATCAGCAATTAGAAGCATTCATCTTTAAATGATTTCACTGCTTTTATATTCTTGGCAAATTGCTGAGACAGAATATGTAATGGAATATTCTCCATTGTGTTTCACCTCTGTTTTCAATTTAATCCCATTGAGAATCAGTTTTTGTTGTCATGAGATTTTTGAAAGTTTCTTTTTTCAAAAATCATGCACAGAATTGCCTTCTTATTATTGACTTGTTCTATGATGATTTTAGCTTGTTGTGGTTAATTTCATAGCACTGTATACCTTTTCATTTGTGCTTTTTGCTTCAGGGTTTGAAGAGTGCATGCACACATAGATGTCTTGTCTGAGGTGGAGATATGTTGGAGTTCTTTTAAAGTATTTAGTAGTTGTAAATCTAACATGTAGTTGATACCTTGTTATATTTCTTTAGTAATAAATTTAAAAGATAAAGTTGATAAAGACGTTAAGAGATTACAAGGAAATGTTTGTGTACTTCTTAATAGGATTGTAGCGAATGTGCAATTTATTTTCATTTTCTACGTGCTTGCACTGTGAAGACCTCTAAACTTCTTGTGGTGTTTTAATAGGAGAAGTGGCTTGACTGCTCACTCAGCATCTCTTCTTGGGTATTCCTCAGGCATCTTAAAGTCAGGATGTCCAAAAAAGAACTGATTGTTCCCCCCAAACCTATCCATCTCCCAAGCTTCCTATTTCTTTTGAGGGTGTCATTTACCCAGGCTTGCAACTTTGGAGACATCCTTGGCTTTTCCATCTTTCTTCCTCACCCATTCTTCCCTGTTGTTAAGGTTTATCAACTTGGCTCATCTCCTTCTTACTCACACAGCTGCCTTCATTGTTTAGCACATCGTTGCCTATTGCTAGGGCTCTTGTAGTTTATCTCCCTGCTTCCAGACTGTCCTTACTCTTCTCTATCCTCTATACCAGAGGAGTCAGACTTCTGTTTGCAGCTCCCATTACTCCCCTTGTGCTCCATTGTAGCTACCAATTTCTTCTAGGATAGAATAAAAGTTCTTTGCAGGGCATTTAAATCCTGTCATGGAATGGCTTTTACCTATGTTTCCAGTCTTATTCCCATAATTCCCTGTAAGTGCCGTATGTTCTAATCATAATTGGCCTGATAGTTCATCCCTATATATGATATTCCCTCTCCTGCCTCCATACTTTTGTGAATAACATTCCCTCTTCAGTTTCCCTCTGGGTTCCTTTCCAGCCTGTGGCACACAGCCCAGATACTACCTCTTATATGAGTTTTTTCCTAATCCTTCCTTTTATTCTCTCCTTCCATGCTTCATCCCTTCTGAAATTACTTTGTATTATTTTGTATATTTGTTGTATTTTCTTATCTTTGTATTTGTTATGTGCTTTCTATTGTCCATATATGTTATGTATATTTTATTTGGTGATCTCACTAGCTCCCATGGTTTCAATGGCCATCTTTATGCAGATGACTTTCAGATCTACTTGTCTAGCCCAAACCTCTTTCCTAACCACCAGTGTGTATTAGACATCTTGAACTAGATGCATCACAGATATTCTAAATTCAGTATGTTGAAAACTGCACTCATTATATTTTTTCCTTAACCATTCTTACAACCTTATTCTTTATTACTGCCGATGTGGTTACTTAGGCTCATATACTCAAGGGTCATCCTTACTTCCTTACTCTCAACCCCAATCAGTTGCTGATTTTTAAAAGTCTTTTCAGTTTACCTCCATAACATCACTTAGCCCTTTTCTCCTCTTGACACTGCTACCACCATGGTGCATGCTCTTGTCACTTCCCACCTAGACTGTTGCAGGAGTCTGCTGGTTGGTTGGTCTCCCTGTCTCAAGATTCTGCCCACTCCACTCAGCTATCAGATTGATCTTCCTAAAGCCCAAGTCTGACCATGTTGCCACCCCTACCACTCACCTCCATTCAGCCCTACCAGTAGCTCCCTATTACCTTCAGGATCAAATATAAAATACTGTTTCGCTTTTAAAATTGTTTGTGATATGGTCCCTTTCTACCTTTCTGGTCTGCTTATGCCTTATTCCCCTCTAGATATTCTGTGATCCAATGATATTGACCTCTTTGTTGTTCCTTGAACATGTCATTCTATCTCTTTTCTCTGAGTATTTTCACTGTCCATCTTCTGGTTTTCCTGTCTTTCTTCAGGTCTCAGCTAAAGTCCCACTTTCTACATGAAGCTTTTCCCCATCCTTCTTAATCCCAGTTAGGCTACCTTGAGTTCATCCTGCATATATCTTTTATATAGAATTGATTCTATGTTGTCTCCTGCATTAGACTTTGAGCTCCTTGGCAGAGCTTAGCGCAAATAAATGCTAGCTGACTTGACTAGACTTGTTCTTCAGTGAAATAAAAGTTTCTTGAGTACAAGTCTTTATATCCCCAGCATTTAGCAGTCTCTTGCACATTTTATGTACTTAATATAAGTTTGTTGAACTTGAATCATAAATGGGATTGTATTTTCTTCTGCCGCCAAGCATTTTCTTGAGTTGTAGAACCGTTTGCCTCAGAGTAACGCATACCGATATGATCATTGTACAATTTAGCTGGAAAAAAATATAAACATGTGGAAAGTTAAAATATAATACAGTTTCAAAATGCCAAATGAGTGTGGACCAAAAAAACTAGCAGTTTCTAAAAGGCAAGAGACCACTGTGGATTGAAGTGATCTGGACATAACAGAATGCAGGTGGATACCAGTAGCTTGAGTAAACATGATTTGAAAAGTAAATTTGTCACGTAAAATCATGAGCAAAAGCAAATCAAAACAAAAGTATTAATGATTAATTACTGTTTTATATTATCTATTATCTCTCTCTCTCTCTCTATATATATATACATACATATATATATATATATATATATATATATATATATATATATACACACACACACACACACACACACACATATACATAATTCCCTATTTGTGGAATATTGTAACAACATTCCTAATATCCCACAATGATTTTATTTGTGTCCTAATACCATAGATACATTAAGTATGGCCACTTCAGAACAGAAATGATAAATGAGATAGCAGGTTTTCTCTAAAAAACTCATTTTTGTCACGTGATTTTTAAAATATATTGTTCATTATAGACCAATAAAGCCATGATATAAATCATAATATAGTTTGGTGAACATTGCTTTTAGCAGAATTCATGTGCCCTATCATTTTATTTTAGGTGATATGTTGTTCCAATTAACTAATAATATTTCTAAAATAATTATTAAACTATTTAAGTAGGGGCAGCTAGGTGGCACAGTAAATAGAGCACCAGCCTGTGCTCTAAGTTCAAATCTGGCCTCAGACACTTGACACTTACTAGCTGTGTGACCCTGTGGCAAGTCACTTAACCCCATTGCCTACCTGGAAAAAAAAGAAAGAGGAAACTATTTAAGATAGTTCTCCTAATAAAGATAGAGTCTGGACTCGTGATTTCATTATGTAGGAATCTCTAAGTGAGAAACAACTTCTACCAATGCATTTTACAATCTTAGAGTGTAGCTTTATTCAGGGGTCACATAGCTAATATACGTCAGAGACAAACTTGGAACTCTGGTCTTCCTGTTACTGAGGCCAGCTTTCTTTGCTCTGTGCTGTGCTAGCCCCTGGAATTAGTTATTTTTTAAAGTTTTAAGTGATCTGTGTGTTGTTTAAGCATGTATATGTGTGCTCACATGCTTGCGTAAAGGTCTAGAGCCTCTTTGCAGGCCACCAAATCAAACAATGGATCCCAACTCACAGGCTTATTTTATTGTGAAAGTTTGCTGATTCTTTCTTGCATTTTACTTTGAGTAAGGCAGACTTCAGATATTCTTACTATAGATTTTGAATCATAGATGGAAATTTCATTACCTTTAATCATAGTCTGTCTTTCACACACAAATTAAAAATATGAGGTATTCAGTCTCTGCTATTTCCAGACACTGTTAGACAGTGGCAGTGCAAATTCAAAGAATGAAACAGTCTTTACTTTCAAAGAGCTTATATGCTTACAGAGGATTTTACATTTTTAATGGACAAAGTATCATACTTGGTCAATGTAGTATAACAGCCACTAATAAATCTGAAGTAGTTATTGTAATTATTTACTTTAAAATCCAAGTATAAGGATGAACTTACAAGCAATAATGCATAGACAAATAATGGTTTATATAGTTTGCTTTGTATTCTAAATAAATCTGTCCTTTGTCATCCCCTTCTCAGACAAAGAAGCAGCCTTGGTACAACAGCACATTAGCATCACGACGGAAACGCCTCACTGCTCATTTTGAGGATTTAGAGCAGTGCTACTTTTCTACAAGGATGTCTCGGGTCTCAGGTAAATGCTCTATTTGTGCCTAAAATATCAGTGCTTAAGGGTTAGATGAAGTTTGCAATTTTGTTAAGCCTGTGTTGTTGAAAAATGTTCCCTATGGTTGGGGATGGAGAACACTAGTTGAAATACATTCTTTATGTAAAACCAAACAGTAACTTCAAATAGCTAGTGTTTCCAGAACTTAATTGGAAGAAAGGAGCATCTACATTACATTTTCTAGGAAGAGAAGAATTTCAATAGTCATAGATCATTAATCAGCAAGTATGCTCTTATTAAATGCCAGGTACCATACCAAGTTCTGGGAATAAATGAAAAATAAGTATATTTCAGGCATGGAGTCCAGTTTATACAATAGCACAGAGACTAGGGAAGACTGTAGGGGAAAGTAATTTGAAACAAGATTGGAAATATAGGTAAAAAAATCTGGGGGGGTTTTCTAGTCTTTAGAAGCAAACTGCTGAATATAAAAGAAAAGCAGTAATAAGTACATATGTTCTCAGCAAAAATGGAATTCCTGTATTGTCACTGAAGAAGCAACATGGCCTTTGACTTGAGTTAAAATCTTGCCTTTTGACACTAAGCTATGGGATTGTGTAGGTCACTTAACTATACTGAGGCCCACTTTCCTTATCTGTAAAAAATGAAGGGGTATGATGTCCAGCTTTAAACAGGATATATTCAGGATAATATATTCAGGATACTGAATGTATTATTCAGGATACCGAAATCCTTGTTCATAATAAATCGTCATAGATTAGGTTTTCTGAATAAATCCTGCTCGCCGTTTTGTCAAGTCATTGAAATAGGGCCTAAATTTTCCTTTGTGTAATCCTGTTTAAAATCCTTAAAACATCCTAGGTTATGGCTATTATGAATGTAGGTAGAGGCAGATTGGTAGAATACAGTGATCTCAAACTCAAATAGAAACGTCCACTACACCAGACCTAAGGATCCCAGTGACTTGAAAATTAAAATATTTTGACTTGAAAATGACATATGAACATTATCTATGTTCTTTTTTCATTTTCCTTCATTTTGTTAACTATTTCCTAGTTTCATTTTAATCTCGTTTGGGCAGCACTTTGGAGTTAGCTCTTTGTTGGATACCTCTGGTGGAATGAATAAGAGCCATCCCCAGAATCAGAAAAGCATGGGTTTAGATTCCATCTCACAGTCCCTTAGGTGATTCTTTAAAACGGTCCATTGCAGAGCAGTTGTCCACCTACGTCGGAGAAACCATTTATTCAAAAGGAGTTCCAACTACAGTGAAATCACAGATCTGTCCCCCTCCCCCTTTATTTTATTCTCTCACACTCATTATGCGTGTTTCTTTTGTTCTTATGATTTTTAGCAAAGTAAGCAATAATGGCATATAGGTTTGCTTGAAATTGATGAAAAAGGTTTTTTCTGATGAAGAACTTTCTTTGTTGCTTAATCCCCATTGCTGTTCTGCCATCTTGAATTCACTGTCTACTGTCTTTTTTTTTTTTTTTACTTTTTGGTGAGGCAGTTTGGGTTAAGTGACTTGCCCAGGGTCGCACAACTAGTAAGTGTCAAGTGTATGAAGCCAGATTTGAACTCAGGTCCTCCGGACTCCAAGGCTGGAGGCTGAAGCTCTTTCTAGCTGTCCCCTTCTACTGTCCTTTTTTTGATGAAATTTTCTATTTCTATAATTTGTTCTTTGAACTACTGATGCTTTATCATAGTGTTATATAGTATACAATTATTTTTGTGTTCTTTCTTTAAGAATTCTTTATTGAATTTAAGTATTATTGCATTGTGATCAGTAAATGATTCATTTAGTAATTCTGCTCTTCTATGTATGTTTTTGTTGAGTTCTTTATGCCTGAACATGTGGTTAATTTTTGTTAGGTTGTCATGTACAGCTAATAATTGAATAATCACTAGATATATATCATATCTAATTTTTAAAATATTCTATTCAGATGGTTAACTTTTTTCTTGTTCACCTGTTGATGAGATTTTTCTAGGCCGGAACTTAAGGTTTCTGACTGTTAATAGTTTTACTATCCGTATCTCCCTGTAATTCAATGAACTTCAATGAAATCATGATTGCTGAATTTGCTTTTTGGTGTCTAGTTGAAGCATAATAGTTTGTTCTATCTCTTCACTTCAACTCTGTGAATCTTTGTGTTTCAAATGTGTTTTTTTAGTGACATATTGTCAGATTCTGTTTTCAGATCCATTCTATCTTCTTCTGTTTCATAAATGGGTTCATCCCATTCACATTAAAAGTTATGATTGTTAAATACATACTTCTCTCCATCCTATCCTCTTGTTCTGAGTCCTTTGTTCCTTTATCCCTCTTGAAACATAAGAAGGTGGTAAAAGAGGAATTCATTTAACATTTGTGATCTATAAATAAAATAACCTCTGTTTCTTCTTTTGCAACTCTTCTCTTTCCCTTCCTCTGTCCTGTTGCAATATTTTTCTTTTTTTCTTTTTTTGCTTTTAATCCTTGCATTATGTTTCTCTCTCCAACATAGGAATTTGTTTTGCTTATGACTGTTCTCCTACCTATATTGCTCTCCCTCTTTGGACTTGCCTTTTTTCAGTCCTTGTCCTTTCATCTTCCTATTTCCCTTTTGAGTTTAATATATTTCCATTCTGAGATGTCTACCATTTTTATCTTGTCCTGTCCAGTCCAACAATTATTTTTTTTTCAGTAGAGAAGAGAAGGAAAATAAGAGTTGAGAATCTCTGCTGTTTCTCTTTTATCTGTTATCATCCCATCCAACCTGACTTGTTTTGTATTCCTTCTTTAATCCACCTCTTTTCTCTAGTATAGATTTAATAATATCTAGAATGACAACAAAACCTTTATTCCCCCTTCCTTGTTCCTTGTCAGTCTTGGCTCATTTGGAACTTTAGCTGTCCTGACATTATTCTTAAAGAACTTCATCATGCTTTTGTATTAATCTTCTTTTACTTGCTGTTTTTTTTAATGTATCTTTTAAAAGATGTGAGTCATTGACTTCCTTTTTTTAGGAGATTCCTATTTTTCATCGGAATAATTTTTCTTTCTGTCTTTTGAATTTCATTCTTGACAGCTTCACTTGAACACTGAAAGTGATCCTCCCTTCTCTTCTGATACTTATTGTTCTATTCTTGGCTTTTCTATTCTTTTGTGTCATCATATTTAAGATTAGGATTCCATTTCTCCAAAGCTTCCTCTTTCTCCATCTGATCAACCAAGTGTCTTTTATTTGTGAAATTTAGATCTAGGATAGAAGTTCACCTCTTTACTTCCTCCATCTTTTGAAGGATAAAATTATCATTAGTGGAAATCCCATTATTAGCCTTCCTGCTTCTTGCAAGGAGTTCTAGCAGTAGTCCAAATAATTGAAGTTCCTGATTATTAATGAAAATATGTTGAATTTATATGAGAGGCAGTCTAGCATAATTGACCAGAGTATGAACCTGGAGGAAGAAGTATCTGGATTCAGATTCTTGCCTCTGCCGTTTGTTGATCATTGTGTGGTTGCTTAAACCATTTACCCCCAGTTTCCTCATATATTCAACAGTGATGACAATAATTGAAGTACTTGCTGTATAGGATTTTTGTAGGGTTAAATAAGATGTCTACATAGAATTTTAAAATATTTTTGTTGCTCATTGTTGTTCAGCCTGTTGTTTGTTGTTCAGTTGTTCAGTTGTGTACAAACTCTTCATTATCCCATGGACGTAGCATGCCAGTGCTGTCTGTGAGGTTTTCTTGGCAAAGTTACTGTAGTGGTTTGCCATTTTCTTCTCCAGTAGATTAAGGGAAGCAGAGGTTAAGTGACTTGCCCAAGGTCACACAGTTAGTAAGTGTCGTGTAAATCTTAAGGGGCTAAATAAATATCAGATGCTATCATTATTATCATCTTCATTGTTATGGGGTTAAATTGAAAATTATCCCCCAATTTGAAAATTTTCTTTCCTTAGTAACTTAGAGCTTAAAGGATAACAAGTTAATGATTATCCTGTCTCTTTTATATTCTTGCTTTTGTATTTGTATCTTTATTACCTAGCATATAATAGATGCTGAATTAATGCTTGTTGGCTGATTGATTAGTTTGTTGCTTTAGTGTTACTCATTTCTGTGGAAAACAATTGTTTGCCCATAACCTAGAATAAGAGACATGATATTAGAAATATAATATTGCCCATAGCTGTTTCCTGGGAAGCTAAAGAAAACATTTCATTCTTTTGCTTGGAAATCCAAATATGATTCTGTGCATTGCTTTGAAAAACAACAAATATCTCTTCATTTATAGTTTATATGTACTTCTTTCACTGTATAGGAGAATGGACTAATATTTCAAGGTCCCTGCGAAAACTATCATTTTATAATTTAATTCCTAAGTGATCAAACTATTGAGAGTTCATTAAAGAAAACTATCACTTAGGATTTTTGTAGTATGCAAGTCCATCTTCATGCACATTTGTTTTAATTTTTTCCTTTTATAATATTTATCATGAATTTTCCTTTAAGCAGTAAAAGTCGTTAAATAAACACTTGAAGCTAATTAGAGGAGATAGTTTTCAATATATTGATATTGATAACTTATCTCTTTTCTTCCACTGTATTTCTTTCCATTATCTTTTTTGTTACACTCACCGTCTATGTGTGTGTAAGTATTTTCAGTTGACATATGCTTTTAGATAGATAAAACATTTAGTAAGTACTTCCAGTATGCCAAGTACTATGCTAAGTGTTGTAAATACAGCTACAAGGAATAAGGGAGACAGTCCTTGCCCTCAGTGAGCTTACTATCTAGAGGTGTAAGACAGCACTTATTATATATGCCAGACTTTAAGTTACAAAGAAAGGAAAAAAAAACCAGTTCATGAGCTTACATTCTAATGACAGATAAAGACAACATGTATATAAATCGATACATGCAAGGTAAATGCAGAGGAAGGGAAGCAAACCCAAGAGAGGAATGCTCAAATATTTGAGAGGTGAGGACCAGAAAAGTTCTGTAGATGATGACATT